TTCCATCTCAACAGACATTATCATGTTATGAATAAAAAAATATAGGCTTCCATTTAAAAAAATTAACTTGACCTTGAAATCTCCCCCACTACTTTACCAAAATATTTATACCAAATAATGTCCCCCTTTATATCAAACAACTTTTGTTAAAACATTTTTTCGATAACTTCAACCCCTTATTAGATATTCCACTGTTCTCACTTAAACGTAACGCCCTGTATAATGATAAAGAGCATGAAAAATAGACAAAGTGTAAACAAACAAAAACTTTTTGCATTAAAAAAATGACTTCTGAGTAAAATGGGGAAAAGAATTGTTTATATGATTAACCGTTTCATAGATAAAAATTCATTTATGTGATAAAACTGCGTTAACTCTAGCGAAAATTAGCATCTTTTTTTAACAGAAACTTCTTAACTATTGAGTTTCATGAGTATATTTGCATGGCAGTTTTTGATTAGAATCATTCTCCAAATCAATCGGTAAATTCTTGTTCAATCATGTAACAAGACTGTATGTTAATATTAAGTATTCTGCAAAATGTATATTTATATCCCCAATTATTTTATAATCATTCAGGAATCTCTTGCAGTAAAACGCCAAAAGTTAGTATTTCTCAAGAAAATGAAGGAACTTTTATAATTTTGGCAAAATTTTAAGTATTTATTATGAAAGTTATAAATATTTTAATATGTAACGGACAGCAATACTAAATCATAATTCAAAAATAATAACTCATAATGATAAAACTAAGCAAATAGTAAAAAAAAAGGTAAATAACTGCATTACACACACATTAACTAAATGCATTAAAATTTCTAACAATTAGAAACGAGAATACATTCAAAAATATTACATTTTATTAAATAACGTTTTTATAGAAAACTATTCAAGCACATGGTAAAATATTTTAGCGGTGAATACGTGGGTCCATGAATACCATAAACTAGTCAGGCATACTATACAGTAAGTACACTACGTTCCCACCACCTCTTTCACCACAAAGTTTGCCTGTATAAGGTATAAAGAAACGTTGTGTCGTGGCTTTCACAGATGATTCAACATTCTCTGATCGGTGAAAATATGTTAAAAAAATCTTTCCACAAAATTGACTCTGACTTTGAAATTGAAGGTCAAAGGGTGTTAATGCCCGTGGTTGTGGCGATGAACTTTCGAGCCTTGTAGATGTTTGCACGATGTTGTGCCGTCTAGATACTGGTTCGAAGGACCACCCAATATGATTGGGACTTGTAAAAACTGATCTATGGTATCGCGTGATGTGAGCTGGTTGTTCCTTGGTTCTCCTTGTTCGTGGTGGTTGAACGACTACTCGACGACTCAACTCTCCGACGTCGCGTCTCGGACGTCCATGAGAGGGATTTTCGTTGGGACACGCTGATTGGTTAATGGTTAACGATTGCATTTACCAATCAGCGTGTCTAATATCGTCTTTGTCGCGCTTCCAGTGCGCCCTTAGCGCGCTGTCACCTTGGAAGGGTGGGAGACGGTCGCGAGGGGTAGACGGAAAGTCCCAAAAATCTGGAATTTCCTCCAGGTGACTCATCGGCAAGCGGACCGTTACATACAGATGTGCCGTTCGAAAATTCGTGGTTTATGGTATGTTTGTAGGCTATTGAGCGCGAGGGACACAAATTACTAAAAATCATTCCTCCAGGTGACTCATCGGCAAGCGGACCGTTACATACAGATGTGCCGTTCGAAAATTCGTGGTTTATGGTATGTTCGTAGGCTATTGAGCGCGAGGGACACAAATTACTAAAAATCTAGCCAAGCAATTCTAGTGACCCTCGCAGGAGGCAATGAGACCCATGCAAGCAATAAACGAAAATCCTGAACTCAAAAATAACCGTTCCCGGTCGATCGTGCACCTTAACTCAAAAATAACCGTTCTCGGTCGATCGTGCCATAAACCGTGTCTACAGAAAACCTAACAAAGGGTCTAGCAGGATAAGATCCGCTAGCGAAATATCCACCAAATGCTTCGTGCAATTGATGAGACATTCGGAAATTATTCTTTAGCACGTGAAATATACGGACAGAGTAGCTTACACGCACCGGAAGGCTTCCAAGAGAAGTTCTTGATCGACGGGATTTCCAACGATTAGACGAAAGCTTTGCAGATGGATAATTGGTATTGAATTCGATTAGTGGTTATCGAGAAGCAGGTCGATCCTATGTGCATTAACGTAGACCAGAGCAAGTTGGTGCACTTGCACGTTTCCATCCATCGAAGGGTCTACGTAATATTGCTCGTTATGTAAGCATCTCGCATACGGCAGAGCGCCGAATAATTCGAGAATGATGTCTCTGGCCCTATCGAATTCAACGGGTTCAGGCACTCAAAGATAATGTTGCTAGAAGGAATTATTGTCACTAGAAATTGCAACAAAATCGATCTTTCCTGGAAAATGTGTTTTTTTTACAGATGACAGCAGTTTTTCCAGTCAGTTTAAAAAAACTAAGAAATCCTTACGCTACAATCCAGAAATTTAAGCAAGAATGTTTCTCAGTTAATGTGTGGATAGACATTACGGGAAACAGAATTATTGGTTCCATTTATTTACCAAATCCTTTAACACGTGCAAATTATCTTCGCTTTCTGCGTTCGCACTTGCCCAACGAACTGCGATGAATACCGCGTGAGAAACGTCGTTAGATTTATTTTATGCTTCATAGTACACCATCACATGTGTGGGAGTGGAAGTGAGAGCGAGGGTGAAGGAGAGAAAGAGAGGACCGCATTGGCTGCGCGTGTGATCCGCGAAGCTAGCGCGATGGTTTCATGGGCAACCGGCTGATCGCTCGGTTTGCCAATACGTCACTAGGTCAGTGGTCGAAGCGCGTCGCGTGTGTATGTGTGTGTATGTGCGTGGACAAACGAAGCTGGACATTTGAGGAACGATCAACAAGGAGTTGGAAACGGTCGTGGTGAAAACGGGCGAGGCGGAAAAAAACAGGAAGGAAGGGGAGAGCGGTGAGACATGCGAGCGGTGGGATCTGGAGTGTAGCATAAGAATAATTAATCTCTCTTAATAAATGATATAAAAGTTTTTCGTTGGGCGCTGACTCAACACCGCCATTCAATACCCATACTACACATGTTAGTAGGCCAGTTCGAGAATTTTTAAATAACATGTTTGCGTCATGCTGGAAAGGTCCAAGCCTTGTACCATATTTATGGCCTCCACGATCACCAGATATAAATCCATTTGACTTTTTTCTTTGGGATGCAGTAAAAGAATTTATGTATACATTATGTATACAGCAAATAAGAAATGTGGAAAAACTGGAAAATATGCTAGACCTTCATTGATGGATTCGCAGCAATGTAGGAGTCAGGCTACAAGTGTGGTTATAAAATAATGGTGGTCATATTGAGCTGGTGCACAAGCTCGATTATCACGAAATATTAATGTAGCGGCCAACTACAGGCCACACTTGGCGCACAGATGACCAGCGCGGTTTATGACGGGCGCGCTAGCAAAAACTATTTTTGAGGAACCCGTTTTTAGCTGTTTAACTTTTCTTAAATATTACAAAGCATGTTTTTCGTAGAAACTTTCACCGACGGTCTCAATAGTAAATTGCCCCGCCATAAAACTAAGATTTCCGAAAGGTTCGCCGTACAGGGCCACGAGGCCGAACATGTACATATCACAGGTACCGAACCTAGAGGAAATTCCGCTGAGTTGCCAAGTCTCCGACGGCGAACTCGCCCCCCCACTAGAAAGCCTCGCTGTCCTGGAAAAAGCGCGCCAAGGGCGCAAGGGGCAAGCGTAGGCTAAGTAACGAAATTCCTGATTGGTTAACCCGATGCATCGGTATTAACCAATTAGGAAAAGTAGTGAAGAGTGGAACAAGAAAAAGCTGGGGAGGCAGTTAGTCATTCTCTGACCTCTCGAGCCAGCAGGTAAAAATAAAAGACTTCACAGAGTAATTGTGTGGGTGTATTTTACCCCGACCACGTTCCTTACATGTCCGTCGGAGACCTACATGTGTGTAACGGAATATTGTATTTCAATGCAAGTATTTAGATAACGTTTTGTGTTAAAATCCTACATTAATAAACGTGGTTCTGTTCTTTGATTAAGAACAAGGAATATAAGATGAAAATTTTTCAAAATGTAAAAGGTAACACTGACTACGATTGTTTACGTCTAATACATAGCATTAAAGTTTAAAGTGTGGAGCTATTATGCAGAAGATTCATCTGACTGACGATAAAACTTCAATGTCGATTTCTTACGAAACGGTTGCTTTGGGATATGCGATCCCTTTAAGATTTTGGTTTGCTTTATAAGTAGAATAGGATATGATTAAAAAAAAAATTTTACCTTCAATTACCAGGTCAAGGTCAATTTTGCGGAAAATATTTTTTAACCTATTTTAACCGATCACAGAATGTAGAATCATTTGTGAAAACCCAGACACAATATATCTTTACATCCTGTACAGGGTAGAACGTACCTATATCCGGTCTAGACTCTAGAGCAGGGCCGCTCAGGCAGACGTTTAACGAGCAAGACCGCTCGCTGTTGCTTGCAAGCATTGCTACGAGCAAAGCTAAGAACAAAAAAAAATGAATGTAGTGAGGAACAACGGTAGTGGTGGAAGTGTAGGATCGTTGGTACGTTCATGAGGTGTTTCGTGCCACGGGTTACTTTTTTCAGTACGTACGATCACTACAGCTTTTTTCAGGCTGGGTGATCACTATTATCATGCATTCATATAGCGTTCCACCACAGAATCGTCGCACTTTACATACATAGAGCAACTTTGAAATCGACTCAGCTCTAGAGAGAACTTTTTAAACATGCAGTATTAAATTATTACGCGTTTGGACATGCTTAATCTGTGAGAGTGTTGTTCGTCTGAACTATGCCATACAAGGTGCCGTGTAGGACAAAGTAATAGAGAAAAAAAATTGTTTTCACTTGAAATTATAATATATTACATGCATATACGAAGTAGTTTCTTACGTGTTCACACATTTGGAATGCAGTTTCCCATTTTTGTCTGTTATCACTCCGACTCAATGATTCAATTAATATTAATTTTACTTTATGTAACAATCCATCTTTTATTTCATGTTTCTCAATTTCCAATGCTTTTTTAGCAGCACTTTCTGCATCTTCCCAACAGTGAAGTCTCATACTTATTTCGCTCAACAACATCCAGCCATATAAAAAGAACGGTTTTAATTGAAGTGTATCTTTTAATATTTTTCGTGCTGCAATCAAATTGTCTGACTTCCTTAAGTACATTGCTTTAGCAACTGCAGCAATTTCAGAGTTTGCATTCAACTTAAAGAGAGATTCATAAAATTGTGTTATATCAATATCAATATCTTCACTCAACATGTTCTGTTCATAGTAAATACGACATATATATTCTGTAAATAAAATAGATATGATTAGAAGAATGAAACCATTATTAAACTTGTTACAAAATTTACTTTTTCAAGCCCCTGATTTTAGCCTAGTTCCGTCAATTTACTACAGAATACGCAATTATATTAAAATTACATGCGTATAGTTTATTAAAATTAAAATTAATATGAAAAAATATATACATATACATATAATTTTATACAGCGTAACCACACATGTATACATAACAAAGATAAAAAATATTAACTATATCTAATTGTTCAGGCAACAAATTCTTATAAATGTGATTTCGTGCTGTTCCAGGTCATCTGAAGTTCAGCGTGTAGCGACCGGCTACAGTACCCGGAGAAAAAGCATTTGGCGTGCAGACGACCAGCACGGTTTGTGACGCGCGTTCTTGAAAAGCTATTTTCGAGGAAACCGTTTTAGTTTATTTCATTTCTAGAAATCCGACAATGCATGTCCGCGTAGAAACTTCCTTCGACGGCCTCAATGGTAAATTGCCGCGTCATAAACCAAGGGTTTCCGAAAGGTCCGCCGTACGAGGCCCAGAGGCCACGACCGGACACGTTACGAGTACCTGACCTGGAGGAAATCCCGTTGTGCTGCCAAATCTCCAATGTGGAATACACCCCCTCGCCAAGTCGCACCGCGGTTCCGGAAAAAGCGCGCCAAGGGCGCAAGGGATACGCAGCGATTTGTAAGAAAATTACCTGATTGGCTAACACCGATGCGACGGGTTAGCCAATCAGGAAAACTAACAAAGCGACGAAAATTAGTTGGAAAAAGGCGAGGCGACAGGAGGACAGTCTAGTCGCGTTGGCGATTAACAAAAATGGCCGAGAACGTTTTCACGTGAGACAACAAGTGAACGCGGACGAGACGTGCAAAGTCGGCGACAAACCGTCGTTCCGTTGTTTCAAATGTAGGAAAATCGGGCATAGAGCGTCTGAATGAAGGCAGGTGCGCGGAAACGACCGACAATGCCCGAAGGCGAGCCGACATACAAGCCTCTACGCGGAAGCGTTGCATATCGATACATCTCGCGATAAAAAATGGTGTCCCGATAGCGGGTGCACTTCGCATTTGTGCAACGACGCGAATAGATTTGAAACGATTAAGAAAACGGATCATTCGTCACTAAACTTGGCGAGTACATAATGCGTCGACCGCAGTTAGCGGAAAAGGTACCGTAGAGATAGTCACGCGAGTAAAAGGTACGATAAGAAATATAAACCTCGAGGAAACGTTGTACATTCCCGATCTTCGTTCAAACCTTCTGTCGATGGGGAAGATAATCGACCGCGATCTTGACATTCTTTTCAACAAATACGGTATCGGCGGACTGTATTACGTACAAGACGAAAAGACTGACGAATGCAGAGCAACTTCGACACCGGTCGATGACGCGGAACCGCGTAACGATCTCGAAACATGGCATAGGCGCTTAGGTTACACAAACGTTGACGACATTCGTAAGGCAAAAAATCGACAAATGATTAGGGGTTTGGAAAAATATAAATTGTCCGGGAACATAACATGCGAAATTTGCGCGCAAGGTAAAATGACGAGACCTCCTTTTTCGAAGAAATCCGACAGAAAAACCATGCCGTTGGAAATCATCCATTCCGATATTTGACGGCCGGTGGCGTACAGAATCGAACGGGGGATCGCTTTACTTCGTTACCTTCACCGCGACGCATCTAGATGGTGCGAGGTGCGATTCTTACGGCGG